GGTAGAGTGTATGTATATTGCATTATATAAATTATGAATTAAATTGTTTGTTTAAGAAAACATCACCCCAACATAATTTACGCTCCTATTAGATATAATATAATTTAAACATATCCAACTGCGTTTTACAGCCATAGGATTTCTGTATTGCTAAAAGCCTTTTTTTTATTTTTCATTACGTCACTGAAAAATAGGCTTTAAATTAATTGACCACGATAATAAGGTTAGCTGATTTTTGATTATCAGGTGCCATCAGATGCTAATCTAAGCGTAGATCCAACCAAATCAGAAAAGCACATCATAATTCTTTGTAGGGCCGTTGATCGGACCGACGGTCCTTCGGTCCGTCAAAGGATCAGGTCAGTTCAGTTCTCTTTAGGATAGATCGATAGGACCATAAGTCCTAATAGTTGAGCATTAGGACGGCATTAGAAAGGGCACTGATAGTAAAATCTGCTAGGAATTGTTTCTGTTAAGATACAGGTGGTTTTATAAGCGAATTTTGAGTTATGGGCAATTTTTTGAAAAAAAAACTTGCTTTCAACACTATGCTTGATCCCGCAAGACAGAAGACTTTATGCGGTAGCAGTTTCAGGTTATATTATCATTGATACATAAAGCTTCGGAAGTATACATTCAATTCAAATAGTATTTGGGAAAGCGCCTGAGAATATCTTGAATATTCGATCCATCCGATATATTCTAATCGGTCCTATTCGGTCCTGGACTGTGATCCAATCCGATCTTTTAAAAGATCGCCAGTCATTGGACCAGGGCGGACCGGACGGACCGATTAACAGCCCTAATTCTTTGAACAAATGATCGTCTCGTTCAATGGTTGATGATCAATTGTTCAGCTCAGCTCAAGAGCTTGAGCATGAGCTAGAGACTATATACAACACAATTAAGTCTGTGATTTGCTTTTAATGATCTTTTTTTCGCTTAAATAAATTAGTAATTAATAATCACCGCAAATAAATCAAATTCGATCAAATTTAGAAAAATAGAGTGATACAAACTTAAGTACGTAAATTAACTATGAACACTATCATTATCGTTATGCTATCCAATCGAATGTAAGATTTACAGAATTATTTGTTCAAGTAATAAGGTCTGCAATTAATTCTACATCACACTATTGATAAAATTCTGTAATTAATTTTACATCGTTTTATCACACTATTGATAAAATTCTGTAAATTGTTTTATTTTGATTTATTTAAGAATAAAAGAACTACGCTCAAAGGTAGAATATATTTAGTGGATCATAACACTAGAACGATAACTTGTTTATTATGTTCTTGTAACAAAGATATACCTGATGATAACGTACTTGCATTAAGAAAGCGTATATAATTTTATTTTTTGATAAAGATGAATAGATTGTCACTTATTGCTCTAAGCATATTATTAAAAATAAAACAAAACAATGCAAGTGCGTTAAGTAAGCGTGGTGAAATTTATCGCACGATAGGCAGATATGAAGAATCACTGGCAGATTTCAATAAATCGCTAGAAATTGAACCGAACAATGCAATTGCGTTAAGTAAGCGTGGTGAAACTTATCGCATGATGGGCAGATATGATGAATCACTTGTAGATTTAGATAAATCATTAGAAATTGAGTCAACTAATGCATATGCTTTAAGTAGGCTTGGAGACACTTATCGCATAATGTGCAGATATAAGGAATCGCTTGCGTGTTTAAATAAATCATTAATAATTGAGCCAAACAATGCATTTACGTTGAAAGTTCGTGGAGCTACTTATCGTATGATAGGCAGATATAAAGAATCACTTAAAGATTTAAATAAATCATTAGAAATTGAAAAAAACAATGCATTTGCATTAAGAATTCGTGGAGATACTTATCGTATGATGAGAAGATATAAAGATTCACTTACAGATTTAAATAAATCATTAGAAATTGAACCAAATAATGCATATGCATTAAGAGCTCGTGGAGAACTTTATTGCAGGATGAGTAAATATAAAGAATCACTTGCAGATATAAATAAATCATTAGAAATTGAACAAAACAATGCAGAATCATTAAGAACTCGTGGAGACACGTATCGCATGATGAAAAAATATGAAGAATCGCTTTCAGATTTAAATAAATCATTAGAAATTGAACCAAATGATGCGGAAGCATTAAGAAATCGTGGTGAAACTTATCTGTTGATGAGCAGATATGAAGACTCACTTGCAGATTTAAATAAATCATTAGAAATTGAACCAAATAATGCATTTGCACTACGAATTCGTGGACGAACTTATCGCATGGTAAGAAGATATGAAGAATCACTGGCAGATTTAAATAAATCATTAGAAATTGAACAAAACAATGCAGAAGCATTAAGAACTCGTGGAGATACTCATCGTATGATGAGAAGATATAAAGATTCACTTGCAGATTTAAATAAATCATTAGAAGTTGAACCAAATAATGTATTTGCATTAAGTGTTCGTGGAGAAATTTATCGCATGGTGGGCATATAAGGAATCACTTGCAGATTTAAATAAATCATTAGAATTTGAACCAAATAATGCATTTGCATTAAGAGCTCGTGGAGAAACTTATCGCATGATGAATAGATATGAGGAGTTACTTGTTGATATAAATCAATTATTAGAAATTAAACATAACAATGCAGAAGCGTTAAGAACTCGTGGAGACACGTATCGCATAATGGGCAGGTATGAAGAATCACTTGCAGATTTAAATAAATCATTAGAATTTAGACCAAATAATGCATTTGCATTAAGAGCTCGTGGAGAAATTTATTGCAAAATGGGCAAATATAATGAATCACTTGCAGATTTAAATAAATCATTAGAAATTGAACCAAATAATGCATTTACATTGAGAACTCGTGGAAATACTTATAACATTATGATCAGATATAAAAAATATGAAGAACCGCTTGAAGATTTTAATAAATCATTAAAAATTGAACCTGATTATGCATTTGAATTGAGTATTTATGGAGATACTAGTCCTATGATGAGAAGATATAATAGATCACTTGCAGATTTAAGTAAATCATTAGAAATTGAACCGGATAATTCAGAAGCATTCAGAATTCGTGGGGAAACTTACCGTATGATGCGCAAATATGATGAATCACTTGCAGACTTAAACAAATCATTAGAAATTGAACCAAATAACGCATCTGCATTAGGAATTCGTGGTGAAATTTATTGTATTATGAGAAGATATGAAAAATCACTTGTAGACTTAAGTAAATCATTAGAAATTGAACCAAATAATGCATATGCATTAAGAGCTCGTGGAGAAACTTATCTCATGACGAATAGATATGAAGAATCACTTGCAGATGTAAATCAATCATTAGAAATTGAACAAAACAATGCAGAAGCATTAAGAACTCGTGGAAACACGTATCGCATGATAGGTAGATATGAAGAATCACTTGCAGATTTAAATAAATCGTTAGAAATTGAACCAAATAATGCAAATGCATTGGGAATGCGTGGAGACGTTTATTGTATAGTGGGCAAATATGAAGAATCATTTGCAGATTTGAATAAATCGTTAGAAATTGAACCGAATAATGCAGAAGCATTAAGAATTCGTGGAGAAACCTATCGCATGATAAATAGATATAAAGAAGCACTTGCAGATTTAGATAAATCATTAGAAATTGAATCAAATAATGCATTAATATTAGGAATTCGTGGACAAACTTATCGCATGATGAGCAGATATAAAGAATCACTTGCAGATTTAAATAAATCATTAGAAATTGAACCAAATAATGCATTTACGTTAAGAATACGTGGTGAAGTTTATAGTTTAATGAACAGGTACGAAGAATCAGTTTTAGATTTAGATAAATCATTAGAAATTGAACCAAGTGATGCAATTGCACTAAAAATACGTAGCGAAGTTTATCGTATAATGGGTAAACATGAAAAAGAATTTGCAGATTTAAGTAAAGCATCAATTTGTTTGGGTAAATATTATAAAGATATATATGGGATCACCCGCAGCAATATTGTCAATTTTACCCTAGCGCTAGGTGCCGCACAAAAAATGCGCGGCAGATCCTCGATTTTGATTGGAAGATCTTCGAAATTTTGGTCCGCATTACAAAATTGTTTGCTAAATTCCGGCCGGAGTTAATTTTTAATTTTTTTCATTACAAAAATAGAAATTTTTAAAAAATAAGCACGCATTACGGTAAAATTGACCCAGAAAAATTTTCACTTAATGGGCGGCTGCGATTTCATTAGTAAAATTATGAGTAATTCCGGCTTAATTTTTTTGGCCAATCAAAATCGAGGATCTGCCGCGCATTTTTATGAGGCAATCATGTGATTTTGAGAAAATCACAAAACTACCCCTAGATCGCCACCAAATTTTCAAAATTTTCACCTGCACGTGATTTTAAACCAGTCACATTTCTAGATCAGGTGTAACGTTACACGATCAGGAAAAATCAAACCAAACGTTCGCTTTGTCAAAAATCGCTTGTAACTCAAAATATAGTATAAGAAACCACCTTTAGTGCTTTAACAAAAAGTTTTCCTTGAGCAATTTTACCTATAGCTCTCTCTAACCCTAACCCGAACCCTAACTCTAACCCTAACCTAACCGAACTTAAAGAATTTTTCGGTGTGTTACACATAATCACGTGCCGGTGAAAATGTTGGTGGCGATCTAGGGGAAGATAAAATCACAATTGAAAATCACTTGATTAATTTTAATACATATATAATAATCACGAAAAAAAAAATTAAATTTATGCACTGTTTATTAGCATATTTTTACAAATTAAGAAAGATAAATATATAACCAGATTATTATTATAAAACCTCAAAATCTGATTGGTTGGCTCATTGCACCGTTTTGCTGCGGTGGGTCCCATTGTGATTTAGAATATGATATATAATGAAATTAACTTTTAGATTTATTGCATAATTAAGCGCGAAAAATTATAGTCAATGGTAGAGTATATTTCGTTAATCATGACATGAGAATATCGACTTGGAAAGAACCTTGTAAAACCGCACAGCAACATATGCTAAGTTTAATTTCACTTCCCTATGGCTGGGAAACTCGATTCGACCCAGAAAGTGGTCGACAGTATTTCTTTGATCACATTTCAAAAGCAACTACATGGGATGCCCCCACTTGGCTAACGACTTAAGGTATACCACTGCATTTAAATTATATTATTATCTGCACAAATTATTAATATTAGGCCATATGAATTTAATAAATCGGTCTTTATAACTCGGCCGGGTCAAGATTTACAAAACCCTAGAAAAAAATTTTTAAGTATATTTACTATCCGGGTGAGTTTTTTAAAAAAATTATATAAAAAATTTTATATATTCTTTATATATAAAATTTTTTGAAAATAAAATTAAAAGCCGGGTTGCCGAGTCATTTTTAAAAATTTTATGCTATGAAAACCGATTTAATAAGTTTGTATGACCTTATTAAGTCGTTTAAATTTAAGAATATTTCATTACAATATCTATTTAATTGATCACTTATCTACAATAGTTAAAGTAACTCATCTTATTTTTTTAAAGTAGCGGAAGAATATTCTTGGATCAAATTAATTCTAAAATTGAAAAAATGTAATTATTTTAACCATTATGTCAATAGTATTATGAATTAATCATATAGGCATACAATATATGACATTTTTATCATGATTCTTATCTATAACAGATTTATACCAGACTTATCGCATTTATCAAGTGAAGAGATTCTACAAGAATATAACCTCTGTCCAGATTGCAATCAACCAAATACCTATGAAAATTGGTGTCAATCTTGCTATACTAAAAAATTTATACGTAGCTTTTCAAGTTGGACAAGTGGAAATCAATTCATTGATGTATTTATACAAAACACTCAGATTGACGCTACAAATATGTTTGAAGTTCTAGAATGGATTCCATATAATCACTTGAGAGAAATCACATATGTTGCCAAAGGTGGATTTGGTGTTATTTATAAAGCCATTTGGATTGATGGACGTATTATAAAGTGGAATCACGAAAAGAATAATTGGCACAGAGCTATAGGGTTAATTGACGATGATTGGAAGTATAAAGAATTTTCAGATCGTGATAGTGATAATTTAAACAATGGTCTTTTTGTTGCATTAAAAAAGCTTAATGATTCATCAAAGATTGACGATCAATTCTTAAATGAAGTAAGTTCATTTTCATGTTCTTTATTTATCACTGTTTGCAATTTGATATACCATAGATCAAATTTTATAGATCACAACTAGAGATGGGTTTCATGTATGCGTATGAACCGAATCATGCACATTTATCCCATTAAAATTTTATAGAAAAATTGAAATTAGAGATGGGCTATGTAAATGAATGCCGAAAAATGGATTGTCAGCCCTGATATTAGAGTAATATCTAGGGATGGATCAATACAATTTCACGCATGCGCGTTGATGCACATTCATATGCATGATTCCGTTTTTCATGTTCATGATATTTCATATAGAAAAATGCGCATTTTGTCTCTTCAGCTCATATTTCAATCAAAATCGCCTGATTGCTGTCCGATTGTACGATTACAATGTGTTTTTTAGACAAAGATTCAATATAAATATAACGCTTAACTTTTTTTTTGCATGTCGTATCGATATTTACTAAAATCACAATTTGCAATCGCACAATCAGATACAAAATTTTATTGAAGATTTGCAAACAGCGATAATCAAATGAAAAATAATGTAAAATCAATGATTAATGCATTGCATGAATTTATTTGTTAATTCGTTATTAAATCAGACTTGTTTTATTATAATTTAGTTGAAACAGCATTTAAATGCTTTTAAGATGACAAAATTTTTATTTCCATTACTTGGAATCACCCAAGATCCTGAGTCTTTGGAATATATAATTGTGATGAATTATGCACATGGAGGAAGTTTAAGAAGTAATTTACAAAAGATATGTAGGATGAATTGGAAAAAACGATTATTTATTTTAAATTCAATTATATTTGGGCTTGTTGGAATTCATCAATTAAATCTAGTTCATAGAGATTTGCACAGTGGAAATATACTAGTGTGTAATTCTTTTAATGAAAATGATGACTGGAACATTTCATTAATAAGTGATCTTGGGTTGGCACAGCGAGTTCAGAAATATTCGTTAAAAAATGATGAAATATGTGGCGTGCTTCCTTATACTGCACCTGAAGTTTTAAGAGAACAACATTATACTGAAAAATCAGATATTTACAGCTTTGGCATGCTTATGTGGGAAATTACAGCTGGTGAACCACCATTTAATAAATTTTCGCATAATATAAATCTTTTTGTTGATATTTGCAAAGGTGTTAGGCCACAAATTGCTGATTATGTACCGCAATTTTACGCTTTATTGGTTGAAAGGTGCTGGGATATGGATCCTTCTAAACGACCAACAGCTAAAGAATTACTAAATATTATATACAATTGTTGGGAAAATTATAACAAAGATATTAAAGATATAAGAGATGATAAAATTAAACAGGCTATAATACAATTTCGAAATTCTGATAAGGAACTTCAAGAAATTTCTATTCAACTAACAGTACAACATGCGGAGGCATACTTCACAAGTCGAACTATTAACTTATCTGAAATAAATCGTTTTAGTTCAGGATTTAAAGAAAATGAAGAAAGTGATTATAAATTATTCAATGAAACACAAATAGAGCAAGTCGATATAAACCAGGAAATTTAACATTATCTGTTATCGTTATGTAAAATTTTATATGTAGATTTACATTGATATAATTTTATATACATATAAAGTTATATACAAAGTTACTCACGTTATAGTGAATTTCTCATTATTACCAAACCCAAGCATTTGTTCCCAAATTTAAATTTTAGTTACAAATTAACCCCGAAAAAAAATTTTGAACCTCTAGACTGATAACAACCCACCTAGCATTACCACCCAAATCAGTTACGTAACAGTAGTTTGAAAATTTATAATTGAGATACTATTCGAATTAAAGATCGAAATTTCAAAGACAAGATTTATATTAATAATAATTATAATGAAATTATAAATTCACTATTCGAATCATGATAATTTAAACTATGGTTCATATTTAACAATTATTTTAATTTATTGCCAATAAAAGGTGTTATTACCTTCGCCCCATGTTTTCAGAATATTTTTTTTGCTCCATAATTTCCATCATTTTTTGAAGCAGTACAAAGTTTGATTCGACATTTTTTTTTGATTCGGAAGTTCACAAGACTTATCAAGTAAGTAAAAGGTATGTAAAATAAGCCAGCAAATGATTTATCCCTTAAACCATTTTAATTACAGTACAGACTTTTACTGAATTTTTAACTATAAAAATGCTTATAATTTATTTTTTTATATTGAAATTGGATACATTTTTATTATTATTAAAATTACGTATTGCAAATCATCGACAAAAAATGCCGATTGTTAGATAAAGCTTGCTTATCTTTTAAAAACACCTTAGCTGTCGCACCAATTTAGATTCTAAATGCCCGTGGTCTATAAAATTTTGACCCGCATTATACAATTTTTACGTAATTTTTGGCCAGAATTAAATTTCTAATTTTTTTATTACAAAAATAGACATTTTTAGGGGAATATGCCTACACTATGGTAAAATTAGTTCAGGAACATTTTCCATAATGGGCAGATGTTATTTCTGCTGAATTAAAGCAGTAATTATGATTTATCAGCCAGGAAATAAAAATTTTGTATCGGCTAGCCGGTTAGCTAAGCCGATCTAGTTGACTATACAGTTAGCTAACCGGCTGTACCCATCCCTAGTCACGTCCATAGTGGTGATCTATTAAAAAAAATTTTAATTATTAGTATCCATTATTTAATAAAAATAAATTATTTGAATATATTATTTGCTTTACAGTCAAACGAGTTTATACCTTTCGTGTTATACGCTTCACATCTGCGTACAACAATGTCGTGACCAGTCTGCCACCTATAGTCACGTCCATTTTTGATTTTTTTTTTTTTTTGTTGCTTTAAGATTTTCTTATGTAGGTTTTCTTTTATATGATCCGGGATGCATGTGTTATGTGCCCACACCCGCACACAACTGTCGTGACCAACCAATATTTAAAGTCACGTCCATAACGGTGATCTATTAAAAATTTTTTTTAATTATTAGTATCCATTATTTAATAAAAAATAAACTCATTATTAAATATGTTACTTACTTTACAGTTAAATGAGTTTATGCCCTTCATGTTATACGCCCCACACCCGCGCACAACAATGTCGTGACCAGCCTGCCACCTATAGTCACGTCCATTATTTGTTAGCTTTTTTTTTTTTTTTTTTTTTTTGTTGCTTTGAGATTTTCATTCGCAGGTTTTTCTTTTATACGATCCGGGAGGCATGTGTTATGTGCCCCACACCCGCACACAACTGTCGTGACCAACCAATATTTAAAGTCACGTCCATAACGGTGATCTATTAAAAATTTTTTAATTTTTATCTAATAAAAAACAAACTCATTATTGAATATATTACTTACTTTACAGTTAAACGAGTTTATGCCTTCGTGTTATACGCCCCACACCCGCGCACAACAATGTCGTGACCAGCCTGCCACCTATAGTCACGTCCATTATTTGTTAGTTTTTTTTTTGTTGCTTTGAGATTTTCTTTCGCAGGTTTTTCTTTCATACGATCCGGGAGGCATGTGTTATGTGCCCCACACCCGCACACAACTGTCGTGACCAACCAATATTTAATTTAAAGTCACGTCCATAACGGTGATCTATTAAAAAAACTTTAATTTTTAGTGTCCATTGTCTAATAAAAAATAAACTCATTATTGAATAGATTACTTACTTTACAGTTAAACGAGTTTATGTCTTTCGTGTTATACGCTCCACACCCGCACAACAGTCGTGACAGCCTTGTCACCTGAAGCCATTTCCATTTTTTGTTAGTTTTTTTTTTCTTTGAAATTTTCTTTTGCAGATATGTGTTCATAGGAGTGATCTATTACAATTTTTTTTTTTAGTACTAATCCTTTTAAAATGTTGATTCGCTAACGACTTGTTCCACTTACTGTACTTTTCTGACTGTTTTGGGATTTGATATTATACGCCTTAAGGAAGTTTCCTGTTCAAGAGAATGGGCTTTGAAAAAGCACTCTACACTACTTCTCCTTCTTGAAATATCTAAGACAAGTCGTGTTTTCCCTTCACAACAATTAGTGTGTTGAAAAAGTTGGTTCAGTTAGGAGAAAATCAAAATATGGGCTGCCGTCAATAGAAATAAGGCAAATTGACATTTTAAAAAAAATTAATACCTTAACTTCCACAGCTCATA